CGCCGCACCAGCCCTCGTCACTCCTTCGGCCAGCGCAGAGCGAGCCGACGGCTGTGGCACCTGCCCCCAAGGCGGCAGTAGTTCAGTCTACTCCGCCGCCTAGCGAATTGAGGCCGGAGACTCCAGGGTCCTCTGGTCTCAAGGCCTCCCCTCACCAGGCGAGGCCTAAAATCCGAACCACCAGCTCGCATGTGCGGGCAACCAGTGCCTCTGGGGAGGCAATGGATACAACGGTACCCTTGGTACCAAAAGAGCGGCGCGCCTCATTGGAGCGCGTTAAGAAAAATAAAAAACCAATAACGGGGCCGGACGACCGTCCTGCCACCTGAATTAATGAGCTCACTCCAACACAGGATACTCTTTGTACACACAGCAGTATCTCTCTTGTTTAAATATGCAGACAGAAATATTACAGTGGAACATCCGAGGCCTTCTTCGAAACCTCGATGACTTACAAGAACTCCTCCATGAACACAATCCAAGAGTGCTGTGTGTACAGGAGACACACTTAAAACGAACTAACACAAACTTTTTACGTAACTACATAATCTTCCGAAAGGATAGAGATGATGCCATGCTACCATCCGGTGGTGTAGCGGTTATAGTAAGTCAAGGTATAGCATGCACACAATTACCCCTTCAAACTTCCCTCGAGGCGGTGGCTGTCCGAGCAGTTATTCTAAACAAACTTGTCACTGTTTGCTCTTTGTACATACCTCCGCACCACCGTCTCGAAAAACTTCAATTCCAGTCTTTAATAGACGAACTACCTGAACCTTATCTGGTCCTTGGGGACCTGAACGCACATAATGGTCTGTGGGGTGACTCTCGCTGTGATGCCCGAGGTCGTCTCATCGAACAATTCCACATTTCATCGGGTGCTTGTCTGTTGAATGGGAAAGAGGCAACATACTATAACCTTTCCAACAAAACTTACTCTTCCATAGACCTCAGTATCGCATCTCCTTCACTTGTACCATTACTTCAGTGGAAAGTCATAAATAATCCATACGGAAGTGACCATTTCCCTTTAGTTTTGAGTACACCAATAATAAATGAATGTCCTCCACATGTTCCCAAATGGCTGGTAAACAAAGCCAACTGGGAACGATTTCAAAGGCTTACTCACCTAAATTGGACTGACATATGCGGGTTAGGCATAAATGAAGCTGTGCAGTACTTCACGGCTTTTCTTACTGACGCAGCAACCAAGTGCATTCCACAAACAGCTGGACCGCCCGGCAAACGACACGTTCCGTGGTGGAACACTGAGTGCCAGAATGCGCGAAAGGAACAGAACAGGGCATGGAGGTTGCTGCGGAACTCGCCGACAGCGGAAAACCTTGAGAGCTTTAGGAAAATAAAATCTCGAGGCAGGAGAACGCGTCGGCAGGCCAGAAAAGAAAGCTGGCACAAGTTTTTATCAGGGATAAATTCATATACACAAGAGGCTAAAGTCTGGAACATGGTTCGTAGGGTAGCAGGAAGACAAGTACACTCACTCCCACTCGTAAACACACAGGGTGATAGCCTGGAAGATCAAGCGAACTTCCTCGGTGCACACTACGAGCAGGTGTCTAGCTCGTCACACTACACTGAAGCTTTCCAAAGACACAAAGCAAAGATAGAAAAGCAGAAACTGGAATCCAAGTGCACAAATTACGAGGAATACAACCAACCTTTCAACTTAGCTGAGCTACAAACATCACTAAACTCTTGCAATAATTCCGCTCCAGGCTACGACCGTGTCACATATGAAATGTTGAAAAACTTGCCGCTCGAAACGCGAAAAACTTTACTCTCTCTATACAATGCTATCTGGCTTTCAGGCACCATCCCTGCTTCCTGGAAAGAGGCTATTGTTATCCCTATTTTGAAACAGGGCAAGGACCCTTCCTCAGTTTCAAGTTATAGGCCCATTGCACTAACCAGCTGCGTTTGTAAACTTTTTGAAAAAATGATAAACCGCCGACTTTTACATCTCCTTGAAACACACAATCTGCTCGACCAATTTCAGTGTGGGTTTCGGGAGGGTAGATCCACCACCGACCATCTGGTGCGTATCGAGGCACAGATCCGAGACGCTTTTGTCCACAAACAATACTTCCTCTCAGTGTTTCTCGATATCGAGAAGGCTTACGACACAACATGGCGTTTTGGGATATTAAGAGACTTGTCTCGCCTGGGTGTGCGCGGTAGAATGCTTTCCATAATCGAAAGTTACTTGTCCAATCGGAAATTCCGCGTCCGTGTGGGCAGTACTCTCTCCCAAATATTTGTGCAAGAAACGGGAGTACCGCAAGGTGGTGTACTTAGTTGTACACTTTTTATTATAAAAATGAATTCCTTGCACTGTCCATACCCCGCAACATGTTCTATTCCACATATGTCGACGACGTCCAGCTTGGCTTTAAGTCATGCAACCTAGCAATGTGTGAGCGACAGGTTCAGTTAGGTTTAAACAAGGTCTCCAAATGGGCAGAGGAAAACGGATTCCGGCTGAACCCAGGAAAAAGCACGTGTGTCTTGTTCTCCCAAAAGAGAGGCATGCACTCAGAACCTGACATTGAACTAAACGGCCAACGTCTGTCTGTGAATGCGGAGCATAAATTCCTAGGCTTAATCTTGGACAACAAGTTGACCTTCGTACCACACATAAAGTATTTAAAAACAAAATGTTTAAAAGCCATGAATGTTATAAAAGTGTTGTCACGTACTACGTGGGGTAGTGATAGGCAATGCCTCATGAACCTCTATAGAAGCCTTATTCGTACCCGCTTAGATTATGGGGCCGTTGTCTATCAGTCTGCCACTCAAAGTGCCTTGAAAATGCTGGACCCCGTGCACCATTTGGGCATCCGCCTTTCTACGGGTGTTTTTCGCACCAGCCCCGTAGAAAGCCTTTACGTTGAGTCAAATGAGTGGTCGCTTCATCTGCAAAGAACCTACATGTCCTTTGTATATTTCCTTAAGGTGAAAGCAGACAAGAGGCACCCCTCATACTCTACTATTAATGACTTGGCGAGCTCCATTCTTTTTCAAAACAGGCCTTCAATGAGGCAGCCCTTCTCAGTTCGCCTGAAGGGTCTAGCTGAGGACACTGGAGTGTCACTCGAACACAGTTTAATGGCTCCTGTAGCATACCTGCCACCGTGGCAGTGGCAGACTATAGACTGCGATGAGTCTTTCCTAGAGGTTACAAAACATGCACCCATTGCCCATATCCGAACATACTTTCTGGAACTTCAACACAAATACACACGTCCTGAGTTCTTCACAGATGCCTTCAAGACTAACTCCTCTGTGTCCTACGCTGCTTTCGGCCCATCCTTTTCGGATGCTGGCCCTCTACATCCACGCACAAGTATCTTCACAGCGGAAGCTTACGCGATACTGGTGGCAGCTAAACACATCAAACAATTACAAATACAAAAAGAAGTAATTTATACAGACTCCCTCAGTGTGGTAACGGCTCTGCACAGTCTTAAAAAACAAAAAAACCCAGTCCTTGTCTCACTTTACTGCATTCTGTGCACACTCTACACACACAAACAACATGTTGTAGTGTGCTGGGTGCCAGGGCACCGTGAGATCCAAGGCAACGTGAGGGCGGATCAGCTCGCTGCATCCGTCCATGAGAGCACCGCCATTACATCTATATCAATCCCGACCCTTGATCTTAAGCCGTCTCTCAAACGAAACCTCAGGGACTACTGGCAGAGCAAGTGGGATACACACACACAAAACAAACTACACGTTATCAAGCCACACCTTGGCCATTGGCCACCAGTATCAAAATCACGTCTAACAGAGGTAACACTAACAAGACTCAGGATAGGACACACATACACGACACACACACATCTTTTATCTGGTGGTGATCCACCATTGTGTGATAAATGTGGTGAGACATTAACAGTTCTTCACGTTTTAATTCAATGTAAACATTTAGACACTCTAAGAAGACACCACTTCCCACTATCCTACCGACAACATATACCTTTACACCCTGCAATGTTCGTCGGTAGGGAACCGCTTTTTAGTCATAAGTCATTATTAGCATTTTTAAAGGAAATTCATAATTTTCATATCATATACCCGGGCATACCGTAGCACGGCCTCTCCATAGAGGTTTTTGCTGCAGTGGCTACACAGGAAAGCACTTGCCTCACGGCCCTTGCACGCAAGGGTACTAACGTGTGAGGTACTTGTGCTAATGCCATACATGTCCACCATCGTTTTTCATTATCACCAACTTTTGTCACCTATTCACACCATGCACACCTTTGACGGCATAGTCATGATTTTATTACTTGTATGTTTTTACCCGCTTTACTGCGAGGAATTTTATGGCCCTTATACAGCCGCTAATCACAACCATTGTCCACATTCCTGTCTCATGAACTGGCGCTCTTTGGCCATCAAATAGCCCTTGCGCCAAAAAAAACACCATATATATAAAAAGCGACCTATAAGATTGTTGAAATAACATCATTACAACGCTCTTAGAAACTGAACGGCAGAGTATTTTAAAAGGCAAAGAAGGAATGTTTTCGAATGCTTTTTTAAAAGGTTTATTGCAATATGTTAAGGTAAATTCTGATCAAGCTTTAAATAAAGATTCTTCAAAAGATTGCAATATGCTTGTTTTATTTCGACGTTCTGAACTTTATTTATTGTCTTTTTATTATGATCGCAATCAATATTATATATATCAAAAATATATCAGTTATTTATTTTATATTTTGTGTGTATGCGAACGCACCACGCCAAAAGAATGCGATAGCGGCTTGCAATAAAATAGAACATAAGCGCGTTCTCTGCACACGTACTCGCCCTACATCGCTAGGTTTATCTTTTATTCCCATACTTCCTTTCATATACGACCTGTTAAAGCCAGCTGAGGTTCAGCAGGAAACCGAGGCTGACAGATTTTCTACTGTCGCCGGAAATCGCGAGTGCTTTAAAAGAGCGCTCACTAGAACAGTCACTGTCGGGTCGGCTTTGTTTGTTCTAGGTTCTTCGTTGCAAAGCCACTCTTTACCGCTCCATTCACCATGCCCATCACCCTGTACAGCATCGTCGGCAGCCCACCCTGCGCCTTCGTCCGTACCCTGGCCAAGAAGCTCGGCGTAGAGCTCCAGCTCAAGAACCTCGATTTCTTAAAAAAGGAGCACCTCAAAGCAGAATACCTTAAGGTTGGCAAGATTGTACCATCCTGTGGTAATTCAGAACGAACTACATTGGTTATAGCCCCACATGTGCCTCTGGGGCTGAATTCACAAAACGTTTCTTTCTGAAGTGTGCTTATCGATTGACGCTTTGCTAGTGATATCACCGCGCGACGTTTGGTTGGAACGTTTTGTCGTGAAGTTCTTTAGAGTGAAGTATTTGATGTAGATGAAACCTGCTCTTTAGTACGCTTGAATGAAGTGCAGTGCATAAGCACGTTATAAGCATCAGTATTTTGTTTTGCAGTATCATCCTAGAGCGTAATGTGCTATGTCAGCATTTGCGTGTTATCGCAGTGCCTGACGTTCGGTATTCTAGGGCAAGCCTTTTAGTTATAGCGATAAAACTTTGAAATATTTTTCTACACACAGAATACTAACGCTATTTAATTTATCTCTAGAAAACTGCTGTTTTAGTACTTTATTTCCAAAAAAGTTCATTATTGTCAAGCTGTGGTTAAATCTCCTCCGCCTGGCGGGTACTGTGTTTACGGTGAAAGGCGGCCTTTCCAAATGTTGCATCATAGATGGCGGCCACGGAGATCTCGTTTCGGTGCACGCACAATACTATGCCTGTGTACTATGCAATTGTGACGCATGCGTGTTATTCAATATAAAACAGTCAATAGTGGCCATTTCCAGATCCTCCTAAATAGCTTGCGGCATAATTTTAACGTGGTTTGGGCGCGTAAAACAGGAGATATTTAAAACCATACATTGTAGTTTTTTTTTCAAACATCTAAGAGGTTTATCTCGCAATCTATTTTATTTTTTGCCTTTGAGAACACAATACACAAAAATTTGAGACGCACTATCAATGCCAGACAATGCGTACAAATGCTTGCTATGCGTAATCACGCTTAATATGTATTAAAAAAGTGGAGCTAGCCAACTTCCACGGTTAATTTCTAACAAGATAAAAGAGCGTTCACTGAGAATTGTAGCGTTATGTTAATAAATAACAGGTTATATCCCTAATAAACGGTACGCTCACGTCTTGCATTGTAATGAGATTCTGGGTAATTTCTTCTTGACGATGATTAAATAATTGATGTGTTGGGTTTAACGTCCCAAAACCACCATGTGATTATGAGAGATGCCGTAGTGGAGGACTCCGGGAAGGGTACTTTCTTTCAATTTGAAACTTATCCTGTACTTATATTCTCAAGTACACTATTACCTGTTGTCCTAAAGAAAGAGGGAAAAATAACTTTCTTGGATGCAGTTATTTTGGGAACAGGTCCCCACCTAAATGGCAGCCAGAAGCTATTGTGTTTAAAAACCTATCGATAAAGATTGACCTGTGAAAATGACTGAATTAACCAGTACCAGTTGCAGTTTTGCTCGACATATTTCGGCTGATAATCTAACGCTAGAATAAAAATTCCGACCGCAGAATGCGCTTCAGCTTACAACTCTATACATATGAAAGTGTTGGCGCCCTTCATACAATTAGACCAACGATGCTTGTTTTAACAGATAAACCCGTTTCACAAGGTGCCTACGCTGGATGATTCAGGCTTTATCGTTTACGAAAGGTAAGTATTCGTTCGAATACTTTTTCATTAGGACGGAAAACGCGCACAAATTGTAACTACCTAAGAGTTTTGAATTGCAGTGCATCAGAAGTATATTAAGAAAAATTTGAATAGTAGATGCGGGTTTGAAAGGTATCCTGAACATCTGAAGTTCTTGTGCCAGTTTAGTGGTCAGTGTTTCGGTTAGTGTTTGTTTTAATGCTGCAGCATCATGATGCGCCCTTGGAAAGGCTCTTGGCTAAAGATAACGTACAGTGTGGCTAATGGAACACGCTTGTATATTTTATTTCACGTGATTGTACCTTAAGTCAGGGAACGAGTCGCTTTTACCATTATGCGCATTTTTAAATCACTTTCACTGATTTTCCTATTCGGTATATTGAATAGCATCTTGATATCTGCACATGCGACGAGAGAAAAACAGATAAGATTGTTCGCCGAAAATAAAGCGCATTTATATTTAGCAAGACGCCAATAAGGAAGCAGTGCAATAACTAACGTTAGAGAGAGAGCATGCACAGCACTTTCTAACCAGAAAGTTTTAAAACTCCGTCTGGTTAGTCTGTCAGGTATGACGACAGCACAAGTTGATATTGCAAGCTATGAGATTTATTCTAGTCAGATGTTAGAGAAAGGTCACGTACCTGACATGTGGGGAGCAGATGTACTTCACCGTGATTATCTACCGGTTTACCTAAATGCAACGTTATTTTTGTATCTCAAGCATTAGTGGTTTTGTGGGCGATGAATCAGAAATTATACTGGTGTATATGCGCGATGTTTTATCGAAAGCTGACGGCTTATTCTCCCCCCTCCCCTCCCCTATTTACAATGTCACTGCTTAGACTGCAAATTTTGAGAGAGGAGAAACAGGAGGGAAGGAAAAGGCAGGCATGTTAACCAGTCTGGAACGACCGGTATGCTACTCTACACTGGAGATAGGTATGAGGGAGTTTCAAAGATGCAAAGAAGAGAGAGAGAGAGAGAGAGGAGGGCACGCCCACGCGTTGGGCTCACAACTTCCGATGACTTCAAGCATGCTGTTGCACACTAACTGATCACAGTCCAAAAACACGCGGTTTTAGTCCACTGGCCTTCCACTGAATGATCGATGCTTCCTGGACTTCTCAGAAATGATGGCGATCTTTAGCCATAATTATACTTGAGCGATTCAAGTACTGCGCTTAAGGCGTCCAGTACTTTGAGAGCAATACGAGCAGACGTTGTCCCCATGTCCAACAAAATCTCTCGGACGGCATCCATGAAAGAACGAAGCATAGATTTATGACTTTGCCATCTCTCTTATGTGTGTCATCAGTGGTTGGTGAAGTACCTCTGAGAGGGCATTGTCTTCTGATGTTCTATGGTTGGCGAACGATTTCAAAGAACAGGCCATTCCTCTGTGGAGATATTTCTCTCCACAGTCTTCTTTGATTTTGTCAGGTTCAGTTGCGGCTCGACCTATAGGTGCAGCAGTAGAGGTGGCACTGTCGTTTGAAGATTACGCAGTGTTTGAGATTGAATGAGGTGGTACTTATTTATCTCTTGTTCTGTCTGATCCACTAGCACTGCCATAGCTTACTACTTGCTGCGTAAGTACGCCCCCAAGTCTGAACTGTATCCAGAATGTGTGAAGCACCGCACTCGCATCGACCAGGTTCTCGCCGCTGTTACGGCGACAATCCAACCACACAAGATGGCCTTTTTTGTGAGTATCCGTTTTGCTGCGCCCTTCTTGATCTTTGTCCATAGTTGGTCCTTTCTTTATTAACATTTTTATTCAAAAAAGTTTTCGCGCTGTAGTTTTCGCGCTTAACAATTGGTGTCCTTCGTTATTTTCTCGTTTCTGACACCTTGCTATCACAGTGAATGTTTTGTAACAGAGGAAATGCAGGACCACTTTTACTATGTACAAATAATGGACACTTCTTCATTGAGAAAAGATGCGAATGCTTTTCGATAGAAAATATAAAAATGTGCCAATGATAATGTGGTAGGTTCATTAAAAATAAATAAATCAGGGCGGCATACATTGTTAATTTGATAGAAAGAAATTCTGTTCAGTAGGGCGCGCGAAAACAGCGATCTTTCAAATGCTGTGATTTTAGCTAAGTGTAAAGCAGTCGGGTATGACATGAAACATGGCGAGGAATTAATAATGTAACGTCCTTGACTTCGTTTTGTGTAGCAGGGAAGAGATACAGTATCTAGAAGAAGCAGCTAAAAGAAGACTACAACAAAGAGATGAGAGAGCGTGTGACAGTGCTTAACACCCTTGAAACCAGGCAGTTGTTTTGGTCAAATAACTAAAAATATTGCGCCCCTCTATCTATAATCAACAGCTATGCTCCCACTGATTTCTATATCTTTTCTTGCTCGCGCTTAGAACGCCACTTCATGTCGTTTGGTAACCTGTCTTAAGCTGATTTTCTAGTAAACATCTCTACTAGTAGTGTTCATTGATAATTTCGTTGTGTGCCTATGTTCATTTTGAAGTGTATAAGCTCGCCTCCTGCGTTCATGCAAACATTTGGCTAATAGATGTGTGAGGCTGCACTCATAACGATGATTTAGGGACATCTGTCCGTAGCACCACCTCTCGATGGCCAAAGCGGTGGCCTGCCGTAACGTATTGGAAAACAGGCAAAGTGTATTATCTGATGAAAAAAAAAAAAGGTGTTATCAAAAACGACTTCCAGTTCTATACAGCAATGACTTATTGGAACAGCTTGACAAAGTTAGTGTCACACTTGGGAAGCCACGTACTCTACAGTGCAATACTGTAGTTTCATCCAAATGTACCATTGGGTCTAGCTACTATAATCCGAAGCCATGTATGGTAACTAGCTTTTGTTGAGACAGACACACAGACAGACAAGGCACTTGTTTAGGTCCTGATGAGGCAAGCCAGTATAGAGGGCCTCTGGCTTGCTTCTCGGCTAATCTCATGCCGGAGCCGGGAGGTCAGGCCTCTTTGCTCTCTCACGATCCCTCTGAACGACCTTAAATTGGTCTTTCAGTTTGCAACCCGCGATGGCCTTCTACCAGTACCCGTGATATAATTTTTGTCACGTACTTCCTATTCAGTTATGGCACGCAGTTATGGCAGTTATTCCTCCTGAGAGATGACACCATGTTCAAATGTCTCCCAATTTCTGGGAATGTGGGAAGGTTTTCACTTCAACACTTTCCAATTTGTTGTAAGATGGGCAGAGTAAAGTGAAATTGAAATTATTTGCAGCGACCCCTTATGAATGAGAAGAGAAAGCCAACCAGCGAGGAAGTGGCTTCGTTTGAAGAAAATGTGCTCAAGGGATTCGAGAACCTCATTGGCGACGGGAAGTTCGCTGTGGGCGACCAGTTCACACTGGCTGACATCTGCCTGTTTTCAAGCATGGTTGGAATATTCGAGGTAATCAAGATTTGACGCTTGCTTGTGGGCTCAATGAATGGCCCGGAGTAGGTGCCTAATTACTATGGCGTTACTTAAGTGAGCTTAAATTTAGGTAATGTACACTCTATTTCGGCGGTTAATGTAAAAAATTGAGTGGTGAAACCAACTTACCTACTTTAAAGGGGCCTTGAAAAACTTTTTCAAGTAATCATGTAATGAATACATTGAAAGAGCCTATTGCCGTCACGAATTCAACTCCACAAAGTTTTAAGAATCCGTCCAGTGCGAGTGGAGTTACAAAGGTATGTCGCATGCGAAAATTGTATTCTCTCTTCTCTTATCCCAATAAAAGTGCTAGAAGCTAAGCAGGAAGGAATGGCAGGGCCACAGAAAACCGTCAGGCACGCATCGTGATCTTCAGCAGTTTTTTTTTTTTTCGAATGCGCGACTTTCTCAGTGGGATCGCGCACGCACGCGTGGAGAAGTAGTGGCCTCTCGCGGTGATCTCTGTAAAGAGCGAGCACGCCATGTTCAAGTCAGCCAATGGCTGAGAGATGGGCTTACTACATGTAATTTTTGGGTATGTAGCGTGATTTGTCGAAAGAAGAGAAATCAATTTTTAGCTGACTGTGATAATTTATTGTGAATATCAGGCCACGTGCTGTGCTCTAATATATGGCTCGCGTGTTGTCGGGAGCCTCTACTACCGATTGGCAGCGTTTCCTGACCATGCGCAAAAAGTGTTCCAGGACCCTTTTAATTTGGTTATGCATCAGATATTGAAACATGCTACAAATTATTCCGTGACCCTGAAAAACATCGACCATTATCATAATGCCGTTATCTTGGCACAGGAACTCACGTCAATTTTAGGGGCGGAGCTTCTTAACGCGTGGGTCGGTTTCTATCTGTATGTATGCATGTATGTAGTAACCACCTCACAGCATATTCACGGAGTGAATGATGGTGAGTGGGGTGGAGCTTCGGAAGGTTTTATCGGCAAAGCGTGAATCATCTGCTGGCCGCGTCAGTCTATCGTCTGTCTGTCAGACGCACAGACGACCGGACGGACGGAAGCTCAGATGTACGCACGGGCGTATGTACAGACGGACGAACAAACAGATCGACGGACGTATGGACGCACGTAAGGACGAATTGACGCACGGACGGGCGTACGCGCGCAAGGACCAGCAAATAGAAGCGCGGACAGACGGAAGCAAGAACGAACGGACGGACGGATGACCTGACGTACTGATGGACGCTTCGCCCCACTCATCACGATCCGCTCCGTGGATATGCTACGATTTTTTGTTTTAATGTCTCGGATTTGATCAAGGCTAATACCTCTCGTAAGCTTGGGATTGTCGGAGCGAAACGCAATCATTGAGAAGAAAGTGTTCAAGTTAAGGTAATGGCGATAGCGGCATGCGTCGCATTGCAGGGATGCCCAAATGAGGAAGTAGGCTACATGACGAAGTATTTCTGCTTGCAGCCACTGCAGTGATTCAGTAAATATTGCACAGCAGCTTGCACGTGTAAGCACCGCAACTGCTGGCTTTGTATGACGAGCACGTCTTTATCGTAGCCGAATTATATTCGTAAACATTTCCTTACGCATCATTGTCATCTCAGCAATCGGCTTGAACTTGAAATGCCGCCGCGTGTTAGAGATCACTTCAATGTATTGCCTACTATGCGAGTACGTTCGTGCATAATAATGGAAGCTTGAACGAGTTGGTATGCATGGATCTTTATTGAACAGTGCTCACAAGACGACAACGATTAAATCAACACAGACAGGTGCTTGTTCGTTTGTTTCCCTGGACTCATGGCTCACGCCCACTCAAAAGGGACGGTCAAGAAAGCGTAGTGCATTTTTTCTGTGAGCATTAAAATTAAAACTATGTGTAATGAATTTGTATTATAATATGACTAATGTAAGGAAAACGCCATAAAAAGAGAGTAAACGAAAAAAAAATTGGAAAACTCAAGTTGGGAAATTTTCAGATTTCTGGTTTGTAATTACCCTCAGCGGTGTTTACTTCACTTCACCCTTTAGAATTTCTCGGGGTAATAAATATTAGGTATTTGACTGAATATCACAAAGGTTTACGTTTGGATGACTGAATATATTCGCAAACGGCATTGAAAGCATCTCTGTGGCAACGTCCCAAAAATGAGGCACCAAAGCTTAGTGCAGTTTTCGCCGTCAGTGTAACGCCTATTTTCAGAAATGGAATAACTAGAAGCCTTTTTATAGGTATAGCGTATCGGTGGCAATACAAAAAATAATGTTCAATTGATTCCATTTCTCCGCAGAGTGCGCAGAGGGGTGATATTATCTGACCAGCTCTGTGTAAATACAGGTTTGGGGTGGGGGGAGACACGACATCAAAATTTAGTAATTAAAACTTCGAGCTTTCTACACTGGCTTCAGTGGGGTCACCACAGAAACTTAAGGTAGTGTCTAAGTTCTTTTACTTCGTCATTGTCTTGTGTGCGCTGTTCAATCAAGATGAACGCATACCAACTCTTTCAAGCTTCCATTATTATGCACGAACATACACTGAGCATCAAATCAGTTGGTTTTTTTTTAAAGAGGTCGCATTTCTGCTCAAGGGAATTGAAGTCCGGGGATATCAATCAGCACAATCTACGTGCTTACATACAAGGAAGAAAAAATACTGTGATCATAGATCTCAGCATGGTATTGCTACTTAAAATTACCATCACTTATAATTAACAATACTATAAAAGTCATCTATAAAAATTTTAGCTCTCACCTCGTATTATTCATCATTCTAGTACGTATGATCCGACCGACTCTCGACCGATCCCCCTGGGTGGGTAGATGGCGATATTCTAATAAGCATCACCATCATCATTATCATCATCTATTCTCTTCTCTCCTTTAATGCGCTGCCATCATAACATTTGTGGCTTTCTTTACACAGCTGCGTTACCGTAGTAGTTTGCACATGTGCTATTGTGCAGGTAAAATATTTTGGCACACTGCATTTTAGGTGGTAAAAACTATATACCATGGTTCCCGAGACGCCCGCCAACAGCGGTAAGTGGTAGACATAAATAGTTTGCCGTTTGAATGTTGGATGTATTCTTCCGGCGGCTCAGTGGTTAACGCGTCACGTTCACGATGCGGAGGTCACACATTTGATTCCGCGCGCCAAGGTCTGTTTTTCTGGTATTTGTTTTCTATGTGTTTTCATATATATAGATACGTATGCATATACGGTGCATGACATCGACGCCCACGTCAACGTCGGCGGCGAAATCCAGCCGAGAGTGCCCATATAATTGCGATTGCAATAAAATTATGTTGGACTCAAAAAGCTCTCCTCCGTGTGATTACATGATCAGGCGTCCTGCATCTATTTGCAGTAGAATCGTATAGATCGCTCTTCGGGCTCTAAGTGTTATAAAAATGATATACGTAGACTTGCACAGTTACATCAGCGGTCACATGGTCTTGAGCGGAATCTCTGCTCATGCTTCTTTTGATCAGAAAATGATAGCGACACAGTGCCTTCAAGAATAACGATATTCTGCTAGCCTGCTTAGGTAATGGTGGACGCGTTAAGCCTTCCTGTTGTTTCACCGTTCGATATGAACAGTTTTGTACCACAAACAAACGTTTCGTGCATTCTTCAATAAAACTGTTCCAAGATGTCCCTGATATAACCATTGGCACTTGCCGTAACTATGTATTTCCGTAAAAACTATTCTCCGTAGAATTCGCTAAGACTCGCCGATGTTCAGAAGAAATGCATGCGTAAAGTGTTTCTTTAAAGCTAGTTGAAGCCTTATCATCAGCAGATCTACTCTTTGATGTAACAAATCCGTGGACATGAGGCCATAGCGGCCCGGCAAACGTTTCATAGGGGCATGGCCTGCATATGAGTGCCTTCGTTCAAAATATTTGATAGTTTGTTAATACATCGTCTGCACAGACATCACTGCTATCTAAAATCTAATTCGCGAGGCATCGCTTGAGGATATCATGCGTTGAAACAAATACGTGAAATAAGAGTTCGTATTTCGGTATCAGATTTCAGTCGTTCTGGGGATAAATATTGATGTGTTTCTCAAACCCTGAGCCAAAACCTCCTTTCTAGATGACGCATGCATGAGGTATGCGTAAGACCTTTTTACATAAAACGACGTAAGCCGGCATATTGCTTCACCTCACACTTTTTTTCCCGTTACATTTTGCGCACGCTGTGTGCACAAATCACTCATGCACTAATTCACCGCTATCACTGAGCACTGCCACAGAGCGAAGGCTCTAAAAAATTAAACTGGCTCTTGTAATAATGAAAGAGCATGCGTGACAAAGACTTCACAAACTTCATTAGCATGGCAGTAAAATTGAGGGGCGTGTAGGCGGATTATTTTCGCGGCGGGGGAGAACTAGGAGAGTGCCTTGGGGTGCTCGTCTATTTCGCCCTGCGCCAGCAGAAGTGGGCAAATGCCACAGCGCATTGCCAAAGAAATTCTGAGGAGGGAGGGGGTATGGCTGGTATGCCACCCTCTGCTACCTACACATGGATAATGCAAACTTTAAGTATACAAGTGTGGAGTATCGGGTGATGTAACTAGTATACATCACAGCACGTGGAGAATTTCGCCATCGATAACTGCCCTGCTAGCTGGCTGTCTGGAAGCCAGGCAAGTAGGCAAATGATTTGTGAATAAACTACATTCTCTGACTTATTCTGTATAATTTAAAACATTTGTTTTAAGCTGCATGAAGGATAAACGTAGTTCAAATGGAGATGCATTGCCGGACGAATAGGCCGCTACTTTAGCGACACTGCATATTTAGCAAACATCTATCGAAAGCCCAATTTGTTTAATGAAAGCGTCGAAGTTACACATGTTTAGAAGGTACAGGGGAGGGGGGGGGGGCTTGCTTGGCATTCAACTTATTATCTACCAGATTTAGTACCAAATATTTGGTAAGATATTTAATGGCTAGGCACATTTTAAGATTCAATTTCTGCAAAATAGGCATCACTTGACTGCTTACCGTGTTCAATCACAAAACTAAGAAATAATGAAATAAGAGACATAGGAACTCACAGGGTCTCTTATTGATTCGCTTCAGACGACACATAGGCAAAAGCCTTCTTTAATTTTTCACTTCTTGTAAATGTTGTGCTGTTTGGCCTCACGGTACAGTGGCAGTTTTCATGAAAAGTAACAAGCGAGCGCACCACCTGCGCGATCCTACACCTCATTGCAGCGCGTTAAAGCGACAACTAGATCAACTGTAGCCTCCTTTCGTGCCTTATTGCGGCGAGCAAAACAAAAATTCTTTCTCGATGTGGAACTAGTGGCAGGATTGCAACGCCCTCTCTCTTAGAGGCCATTGCGCAAGAGACCTCCCAGGCTTCTTGCATATAATTAATTTTGACTGCACCAAACAAGAAAGTGTAACTTCGTTCCTAAAACTGTCATCTTATTTCAGATGGGGTTCATCGACAAGGCCAAGTATTCGAAGTTGTGCAGTTACTACGAGCGTGTTTTGCCCGAAATTACTGGTTACGATGACATCTATAAGCCAGTCCTCGCTGCCATGCAAGAGCACTGGCTTAAGGCGAAGTGAGCCACTATGCTTGAAAACCATGAGATTGCATTTTTTAGAAAGCCCACTTCAATAAAATTGATTGATGATTTGATTATTATGTGGGTTTTAACGTCCCCAAACCACAATATGATTATGAGAGATGCCGTAGTGGAAGACTCCGGAAATTTCGACCACCAGGGGTTCCTTAACGCGCACCTAAATCTGAGCACACGGGCCGACAACATTTCCGCCTCCATTGGAAATGCAGCCGCCGCAGCCGAGATTTGATCCCGTGACCTACGGGTCAGCAGCCGAGTACCTTAGCCACTACACCACCATGGTGGGGCACTGCAATAAAATATGCAAACATGTTGTGCTTAGAAAGCAAATGGAAGTAGGATTAAGAATGATTATTTCTCGGCAAAAGTGCAGTTGAGTTGTATGTAAGGTGCTGTAAAGCTGTTGCTTGAGCTGGTTGATGCATTCCTGATCACAAATTGCAGGAGGGTGCAAATAATTAAATGAAAATATGCACAAAGGGAAGTACGCAAGATGGGCGTGAACTTCAAGTGTAATCCTGAAGACCAAAGCAGTTCAATATGAATAATGGCCAGTCTGACATGCGTCTAATAAAACATTATGCCCTGCCAAATGGCTACGGTGCAATCGACAAACAATAAATATTGATGATAGTGATATGCAGAATAGCAGTGCTGGTTGTCATTGTAAATCTTCTTACCTCTATTGTCCATTTTTGGTTGCTTAGTGTAAGTGCTGTACTCTTTTGATACGGTATGTTTTTACGGGCGCTACCGAAATAACGCTAAGTAGGTTCTACTATGGGTTAGGGAGGCTATCAGTCTATGATATGTAACTCGCAAATTCATCTCAATTCTCTCAAAGGCCGTGATTTTTTACGAAGTTGGAGCACGCGTCGTCGAGATCAATGTTGAACAACGTTGGTGGTGGTTTCAAAACTACCGCTTGGCGGACTATTAAAAAAAGTGAACAAAGCGGTAGCTGTAGTGCTTGGTTTACCTCCTTGATGGCGCCAGTTGTTCGAGCATATACCAAGAGTGGGAGATTTGAATTTGAAATTGTCGACGGTTGCCGGGCTATCGATGACTATAGCAGTAAAATGTCGGAGCTTGATTAAGCTGTGCAAGAAACGTCAGCATGCCTATTAACATGGAAGCCAGTAGCTATCTTTTTAAAAGGCAGAAAACATGATAGGACACTGTAGGAGATGGTGAATTTGACGGGAAAATGAATTCTTGCTCACGCGCGAAAAATGAACTCAGAAAAAAGAGGAAGAGAGAAGATACGAAGAATATTGCTTCATGCTATTGTGTCGATTGCTGGGTGTGCATGACTTAAGCATTTACATTAGCAGTCGCATCGCTTTCTAGCAGCAAGGCACAATTGCTCCTTACTAAACTGGATTTCTCTGCACAAGTGATCTTGAATCTGCGTTATTTCACATGATGCATATTAGAAGATGCTGGTCGTCATAATGACTCCCCTAAAATCTCGCCATTTTAAGTTGGATATCTTAAATGTAAACGTATGCGTGCACTCGTGAAGCGTGTACACCAAACCTATCCAGAAGAGAACAAAAAGGGAATAAACAAATAAAAAATATTCAGTTCATTACGATTCTATAAGTTTCAGTCGAAAGTACATGCCACGTCCATCCGTATGTGTCGTCGACTGTTCGGCACTGCCGCACAGGGCAGCCTATGTGAATACGCGTGCGCTTATTGCACTTCACCAAGATTTGTCGCTGAGTTGCACGGCTCGGATCGAGCATTTCGCGTCTACTGCTTGAAGCAGCTCAAAAAAAAAAGGATTCGATATAGGAGGATTTTTTTTAATACGAAATATGTGGATAAGCCTTGTTGTTGAGCTTTATGAAAGAACAAGCCCACTGCACCCGAAAGAAGTACCTGAGTCGCTTTCAACTAGTGCACCCCGACGTAGGATGAACAGAACCATTCGTGTCTGTCAAAAATTTGGTTTTTGGGCTAGACTATGATAGTAGAGCGGAGTTGCCCAACACGAACATCTCAAAATTACCGAATCGCAAACTTTTCCTCGGGCGTTCGAAGTCTGCGTTCATGGTGCAACGTCAATGTCAGCCGTGCCACATTAGGCGCAAGGCAGAGATTGTGAGTGCCGTCTGAAGAACGCCTCCTACGTGGAGGCGTTCTTCAGACAGTGTTCCTTCAATGCCTCTCTCGCGTATTGCGTACACTAAGGGTAAAGAAACTGTCGCATGCAAAAATCTGGCTCGAGTGCGCAGACAGACGAACATTTTCTGAGAATTTCTCTTTCCAGGAACAATACTACCTCTATCAAAAGCGTGGATGAGTAGAAATTTAAACTTTAAATCAACTCTCTGTCTATTTATCTATTTCTTTTTTTGGAAACACACGAGAACATACTTAAGACCTACAAACCATGACATTGGCAAGTTTGCCTCTATACGTGCTCGCTCATATATGTGATTGTGAGTTAACGTCAGCTTGACCACTTTGGTAGGTTTGTAACTTCAATTTCACAAAAACAATGCAACTAGTTTTACAGATTAAGTTTGGACATGCACTGGGCATTATTTTGCATTACGCCAGTGCAAAGTGAAACGAATCTTTTCTCCGGCAGCGTTAACACCACTAAACGGATTCAAAAAATATACCAGAAACAAATTCATAAAAAAATTATGAAAGAAGTATGAGGCGCTAACAAAATAAAGTTGCCTGAGAAAGGCACAAGATAAAAAAAACAGAATATAAACGAATAGATCAATAAATCCGTGTCATTTTAAGCAAAAATTTGTCTTACCTGTTCTACAAGAAGCAATCAGTGGCTGTCGCGAACCACGCGCGGAAGAGGGAAACTATCAGTAACAGTCATCATAAACGTCATTGTCGTGGTAGTTAGACCCACTACGCCCCGTGTAGGGCAAATACTTCTCCCGTGTTACGCTTGTCAACCCTTTCCCGGGTTCGATGCTGCCACGGTATACCCTAAAGCTTCTTAATCTCATCAGCCCAGCTAACTTTAGAACTCAACCTTCCCGCATTGTGCTTCGCTTGGAATGCTGTCTGTTACCCATAATGATTAGTCGTTCTCTTGCCCACGTGATACGACGTGCTGGCCCCATGTCCACTTGTTCTACTTGATCTCACCTTTGACGTACTTAAAATTTATTTATAACCTGACCCACTGTGTTTTTCGTGCTCGTGAGCAAACACTTATCAATTTCGTTCTATTTGGTCGCTGCGCCTTTGTATATTTAATTTGAACCTTGTTCGCAATCCTCCCTGTCCACTAAGATGCAGATTTTATATGTACTTTTCGTTTGTGAGATAGCGATAAACTACCAATGATGGTACGACACCGCCAATCGGCAATGAACAAACTACACCTAAAGAACGCAGCTTTTCGTTTAGCAACCAATAAATGATGACGAAAATTTGTAGGTGCAAATTCTGCACTATTAGACGAGGCCGGTTATCCTGAGGCACGAGTGAAAACGATGTAGAGGGGAAAAAGAAATTTGTCGAATTATAGAAATTGACAAATACATATAATTTTTTTGGCGCGGGTGCCAGGGCACAGAGGTACAACGCGCCATGAGCATGCGGATACACTCGCATTAGTATCACATGATGGTTTCATTATTTCTATATTGCCAACGTTGGCGTTTTTTAATGCGGCTTGATATGAAAACTTGGCTAGGTCAGGAAGAGAAGGAGGAATAAAAAACATTATAGTGAGAATCTGGTCGCCTAAGTTGTGTGGATCCAATGTCAAAGTGTCAGCAAGGAGCAGTCGGCTTTTTGGCAGCGTCCGTGACTCGTCAGATTGCCCAGAACAGTTCCTATGGGTCTGAGCTGAACATCACGGTCTACTACTCACCACTAATAATTGCGCGATCCCGTTTGACCAACATTTGACAAACCCACAGGATGTGAGGCAAGTCTGTCTTTTTCCTACATAATTTGCACCTATTGGTGTACCGACCTGGCTGATAGTGGCTATAGGCCACTGGGTTCGGGTACGTGTTTGTTTGAAGGAGGCGCCAGGTCAGCACTTGTTGCTTGATAAGGGTGTGCCGCGCAGGAGGATACTGGACCCTTTCCAATTGATAATGGTTTGTGATTTCCTTGAGTGCTACCAGCTATCTTTTGTCCTACCTAGTGGAGGCGTCTCACTGGCTTGGCGTGTAGCCACTGATAGCCTAGTGGAGGTGTCTCGAGCTACGGTGTGAGCCACGCCATTTTTAAGAAGAAAGTACAGCTGGTGGTGGTGGTGTTGAAAAGGCCTTGACCTAAAAGACCAGAAATTGCTCCGCCTGAGCATCTCTTAAATAAGGGGGTCAGTCACCAAATTTCACTCAGTCCAGTGTCTCGCAGCAAAGTAATCAGGATACGTTGCAAGCTCTTCCTCGTCACCGTGGGTCCTTCAGGAAAAATGACATCTTCCAATAAGCCGTGCTTGTGACAATCTTTTTGCAAGCTGCCTATCGACTCTTTTCTTTCTGTCAAACTGCGGGCACAGCCAAATAAAATGTTCGATAACACGGATGTCTCCGCAAACAGCACAAAACGGGGAAGCGCCTCGCCCAGTCTTGAATGACCAATCCAGCGTGTATGCGGAGTTGCTTCTTATCCGATAAAGCAGCGTTGCTTGTTCTCTCGAAAGTCCATTGATTACGCATGACTGATGCGGAAACTTGTGCATCTCACTGAAGTGAATGCATATAACATTCTTTTTGTTGTGGCAATTTTTAGAACCTCTTACTTTTGGAACGCAAGTTCGCGCTTCGCGTGCAAGGGCATCAGCTTTATCATTGTCTTCAATTTCAACGTCGGATAGTATTGATTGAAATTGTACACTGAAGTTCTTGCCGATCAGGTGTTTAATGAGCGCCAGAGATGGTGTTGTAAATTGTTCTCGAGGTATCCCTCAATGCCGTCTCTGTAACGCCGACTGTGAATCAGTCAGCACTACCACATCTTGTGCAGAACGAGTTTGCAATTTTCGCAAAGCCGCATTGATTGCTCCCAAACCATCCCCACTTTTTTGTGGTCTCCAAACTTCTCCAATATT